TAGTGGGGTTGGGAAATAATAAAGAACAGGCTCGATTTTCGCAAATAAAAAGTCAAATCAAACGAGAGGCGTAATTGAATTGATCTGCAGAGGGCAAAATCAAACGCTGAGAAGTGGCAAGTAACAGAGAATCACACACGACAAGCAATGCAATAGCGGCAGGTGTGGGTGCATAAAAATGATTTTCTGAAAAACACCACCACACTTACTTACGTCTCGATTGTTTTTCTCTTTATTTTTATTATTTGTTCTTAGATTCGATAACGATGAAACGTAATACATTTTGGTGACGTCAATACGCGGTACCTACTGGTACACAGTTGAACAGACCACCACATATGTTATTTTTCGTAGCGGTTCTGAATTGGCGCAAAGTGGTTTACGTCTCTGTTTCTATTGCCGCCATATTTCTGGGTGGTGATGAAAGTGATATGGACAAAGGGGGTGGGGGTGCACACGCGAGGACTTTGAAGTTGCGTGGTATTCGATCGATACCCTTGCGATTCAATGAAAAACACTACACGTCAGTGGACCGGCTAAACAATCCTTAAATTATTGGTAATGTTAAAAGTGTCAATTAATACTGATATATGCCCTCCTTATAAAACAAAGTCCCTCTTTGTTTACCCGTTTGGTATCTTTCAGGCATCACCTGTGCCGTACTTGATATTTTTATTTATTCGTTTTTGCGTGCCAGGGCTATTAGGTTTTTAAAGTATTACAAAAAGCACAGCGAGTCATTCTGTACGCGACCTAAATGCACACCTCTTGGAAAGTAAATCTAATCTGACATGAAAATATATTACGCTGAAGTTTATCTGTCCAATGAATCTTTCACTTGAACGAATAGATATCAGACACTTAGATACTATCATATAAATGCACGTTTGATATAACAACGTATTTTCTTATGAAATGTTACAAACACCAACACGTCAAGGCTCAAACCAATTTTGTCCACGACAAACTGCTTTATATTGAATTATAACTTGTCGTGTTTAATAAATAAGAAATTTATCAAATAATGGAGAAGTTTTACCTGCAAGCAAAACTGCTCCTAAAATCATAACTTCAATCGGATAATCCGAAACATTAAATGGTCGTAAAGTGAATATTAAACAATATATTTTCATGATTTTTATGTAAAATAGAAGATTAAAAAGAAATTATTTTTCTTGGATACCATAAAATATACATATACAGTTAATCAATAAAAATTTGAACAGTGCTTTTAGTGAACTTTACATCTAAAATGGCTTTGGCTGAATCAACACAATTTAACAGGTTTAAAAATCATATGCATATATATGTTAATTATACGCCTAATTAATATTACTCGACCCGATGTTGTATGTTTGATCAAATATATTAAAAGCTTCGTCAAACGCTTAAGGGTTAATGTGAATGTAATGGCGAGATTAATGCACAAATGAGGCCCTAAGAAAATATCGTGGAAACCTTCTCAATTTATATGGAAATCACGTATTTTTAACGAGTAAACAAAAAATGGCAAGCGCTGTTTAATGCGTATAATATTATAAAGATACACTTTTTTACCAAAAATATTATGTCAATAAGGTTTCATGCCAATTTGGTCAAAATGGCACTTCTTCCAGAATGAAGAGTGGATGAAACATAATACCGACTGTCTGAAGTGTTCTGGTTTTAAATAGTATCTTTCCTTTACAAATATTTTAACAAGTCAAATAGTATTTTTTTGTATGACAAAAAAAAATATAATGATTTACATACTAAAATACATTGTTATGCATTTACATTGCTCATCTTAAAAACAAATTTTTTCTGTTACATTAACCATAAAAAATTCAAACGTTTCAGTAGAGTATTATATCCGCCGTACTTAGTTAACAACTACAGCATTAGCAAAGCCATAGAATGTTTGCAGCTCATGAAAATTGACATTTCATATTCACAGACCGTGGAGAATGGTTATATCAATTATAATTGTCATATAGTGATAATTATCATTATGTGTTTTATAAGCTTTTATACACTTAGCAGTTTACTACGTCGAAATATTATTAGAAACTATAATATAATAATGTGATAATAATTAAAATTTCTACTACACAAAATTACCATTAGTTGGTGTATTATATGGACATAACTGAAAATAGTGGAAGTCCTGGTATTTTTTGAAACCTATTTAATATCGTACTATTTTATAGGTATACAATGTTGAGCAAAAAAATTTTTTTTTGTTTTACAAATTATTTTATACTAACAATTAAAAATGTTTGTATTAAATACATTTGCATATTTCGGTTCTTTTTACCTTTCACAGCATATTTAACATATTTTATGGCTTTTAAATATTTTTTACATATATCTTTAATTTTTTTTTTTTAAATAACATTTAATTTAGACATTTATTAATTAATATTATGCATAACTAATATATATATATATATATAGAGAGAGAGAGAGCATTCAGTCCTCCACTTCACTCATTTGCTTTCGCTATAACTATTTAAAAAACTAATCGACTTCGATTCTAAATTATACGTTGAACAAATAACATTATAAGTAAAATCAACCTATTTCGCTGTACTCTCGAAATTAGATTTATCATGTAATATGTTGTTTGAAATAAATTTTTGCTGATTAATTTATATTTATTTTTTATTTAAGTTACTAAAAATAGCTCAAATATATTTTAAACACAATATAAAATAATCATAATGAAATATTATGTAGCCATTTATATAATTTACCAATGTCTAGAAACTATGACGTCAAGGAGGTTAATTTTAAGCTCAAGGGGTCTATATCTCCACCTAGTTAAACCAATGATTGTGTAGCAAACCGAGAAAATAGATAGAATAAAGGAAATGAAGATGTTTTTGAAATCATGATTAATTCATAGTTAATTAACGAATTTGTGCAACAGATCTGGTGAACCCGATTCCCTTGCAAAACTCTTATGTCTTTTAGAATTAAAAGCAAATCGATTTGGTAAAGATTCCAACTAAGTCAGTTGAGCTACAGATGATCGTTTTTGCATTTATACTTTGTACAGCAAAACAGGAAAGTCTGTCTACAAAAAAAAAAAAAAAAAAATATTATTTTAAAAGCAATACCGTAAAAACACATAAATGTTTTATGGTATTTGTGTTTCTGGTCACGTTTTAATTATTTTACAAATGTATTAGCATAAATGATTATTATGGACTACCGAGTTTGGTATTACTTTAGATAACCACCGAATAAACGTTATTGTGGAAACCGCAGATTTACATTTATATACAGGGTGATTGTTTAACTAAGACTCGTACATTATCTTTTAAAATATAAAACTTGATATAATTTTTCTTTTCTAGAAGTTAATAGTATCTATATTCTATGATGAAAAAACTTTGTTCTATCCCTTTCCTCTCCCTTGAAAAGTTATCAACTGTATTTAATTCTTAAATAGTAACATATGTACAACCAAATTAAAAATAAGAAAATTGTCGGTTGCTTACGACTTTTACATTAGTATTTTGTAAGTTATTAACACTATAATATAAAGATTGGAAATGAAGCGCGAATAAATTTATTTTAATCTCTGGAAATATATGAATTACACTACTCCTCCCACCCTTATTTTAAAATACATGAACAAAAGTCGTTCCCAACCGGTTATTTACTTAAATGTATCATTATCTGATTTGTAAGCTGGGTAAAATATATATGTTTCCATTAAAAAAAACAAAAGTTGACAAAATTTTAAAAAAGAAAAAGGGAGAAGACCATTTTTTATTTTTTTTCGAAAATCATGAAACTTAGGATATTATTAACTTCTAGGACAAACATTTTTTTTATATTTTATACTTTTAAAGATAGTGTGTAAGCCATAGTTTAAGAATCACCCTGTATAATGATATAAATAACGCGTAACATTCTCCACATACTATTATTGAGAGTAATGTCAATATCATAACTTTTTTAATTTCAGCTAAAGCGATGGCGATATTGAAAAACTTTTAATTTCAGTTCTTCTAGTATTAATGTTTGTAACTTTATTGTCATTTAATAATAATAATGTTTCTAAAAATGCGCCACGAGTCTGTAAGTTAATTTTTTGGCATTGAAACTACTACCGTTCGATCGATACTAGGCATTTTTCCTACCCCTGACCATATTTACATAGTGTCCCGTTGGATACGTTCAGTATAGGTATTTTTTCTCCAAGACATGGAAATTTCCATAAACGGTATATTCTGTTTCAAGCATTTGCACGGCTGTGTTAATATTTATTATAATACGTTATACTCCAGCTATATATACCCTAGCTGTTAATATTGTTTTTATATGTATAGCCCCACGCTACCACATATTATTGAAACCTTCCGAGCACAGACGGTGGTACAAACATCGTTATATTCAAATAAAAAATGGTTTTTGAGGCAAACAAAGCAGAAACACTTGAAAAGTCTAATCGATCATTCATTGTTTGCCCGACGTTCTGAACTGCTTTGACTGAGATAGGAATTGTTTTAAAACCTTTATACCGTTTAGTCGTGTTTACGCGCCAAATCAAAGCGCTTAACGTACAGACACTTCGTCTTCGACTTTGATATTTGGTCTCTCTTTTGTTGATCATGGTATTTTGTTGTTGAACAATTTAATGTCTAAAAGTTGAGTCAAAAATACGATCGGAACACATTTTATCCTCTTTATTCAACCCTTTCTTGTTGACATAAATTCCTACGGAATAAGCTTTACGGTATTTGTCAAACCAAAGAAGTATAGAAAACACTTTAATTAATGAGTGAAACCGATAGGCAAATGACAAAGGACATAGAATTCTCGGTCATTATTTCATTTTGAATTAGAAAGTCATCGTATGCCTGAAACTTTAGGCTTAAGCTACTTCAAAGTTCAAAATTTTAAAAACAATGAACTTCGAAACATGATGATTCAGACGATATCAATGTTGTCATTTAAGTCTACTATGAATGATCAAGTCGTAATAAAATGGTTTTTTTTTTTTACAGATAAGCAGAGGATGGATTTTAGGTCCTGAACTTTGCGACATGTGGACCTCGAGTGACGTATTATGTTGTACAGCTTCAATACTCCATCTCGTTGCAATAGCAGTTGATAGGTAAGTTGCACGTTTTTTAATATGACAACCTTGTTAAAAACGGATTTTCTTTTAGCTTCACGTCGAAGGGTATTAACCCGAAAACCGCCTGTGAAACGAATTTCGTACATGTAAAAACAAAACTGCTAGTACTTACTCTTGTTTCATTGACAACGATTATTTTCTATTTTGTTTTTCTTAACATGGGTGATTATGTTTACTTTAACGGGAATTATTATAATTTTGGGAATATATTATAAAATATTATAGGAAACAATGACAATTCACAGTGCTCGCTTATGGGCGCGTTACATTAAAATTCAAAATTATTATTTCATTCAATTTAAAAACTTGAATATTTTACTAAACCGTTTTGCAATATTCTCAAAGGGGTTTTTATGCAAACTTGTTAACCTGGTCCTTCAATGTATTTTACTCGCGTGCCACTGTGCTCGTATAAACAATGGGGCAGCTAGTAACTGTCTATGGTGCATTTACCAATCCAGATTATATTATTTAAATAACTCGAGCGTTTCTCTTGCGTATAAACAATAAATATGATTACACTAAATCATTATGAACAGTCCGGTGGTAATAATTTGCAGTAGTTTATAAATTTATGAATAGACCCATTGGCTATTGTTTCATTTACACCAAGATAATAATATACAATATCTGCCGACTTGTGAATTTCCAATTATGAGTTTCTAAGGGTATAAAGGATAGACAAAAGATAATGAACACTAAACTCTGATAAGGCTAAGTTAGTTTACATAATATTAAAGTAGAATGTTCTTTAAGCGAAAATCATAAAAAAGTCATTTACTTAACTTGGTTTTTTAATAGAAAGGAGAAGCCTTCTCCTCTTGCTATTTTATTATACCCTACGCCGTCAAATCGAAGCCATACCCATTATTTAAGTGATAATTAACGATAGAAAATGTGTAGATTGACATTTAAAAGAAAAATTTTACTAATAGAGGTTCTCTTAAAAAGAATATCCGTCAAAAGTTGATTAGGGGAAGCTTCCGTATACTTTATGTCGGTCATAAATGATTAAGTAAATAGTTTATTGTTTGACAAATATTAATTTTATTGAAACGCGACAAATTCAATATCTGTAGAATTATTAATAAAATATGTAAAAATATACCTCTTGTATTTATAAATAAGACTATTGAAATTTATTCATAATAATATTTACTGCTACTGAGCCTTTTCATTGACTATAATGGTTTTATTATTGGCGCAAAACTGTAACATCAATTTGATTTAAATTTCAACTTTAGTGGCAATTCTTGTACTCTTTTACCCTCACCCAGTGACTGTATTTACAGAAAATGTTTTTAATTTTTTTTTCGCTGTTCTATCCATAACATTATTAAAAATAAAGTCCAAGAGTAACGAAGCGCAGCAAGACTGTAAATAATTATTATGTAAAATAGTTTTCCATGGCAAAATTCGTTTACTTTTTTCTCCATTTTGAAGAAAAGATTAATTGAAAATCTATATTTTTACTGCTTTGGAATGTACTTTATTAAAATATGCACTCAGCTTGATCTCGTTGTATTTTTCCATTTAATTTTAATCACTTTTTTTTTTTAAGTGATATCTACTGCGCATTTGAAAAATGTCCTCGTAATGTTAGTCTAGCAATTTTATTATGATCTCATAGTGATAAAAATAAATAATAACAGAAAACATAATGCGCACATGATACGCCTTTATAAGATGAGCCTAATGTATTTTTAAACACGAACCTAAGTCCTTAGCGAAGCTTCAATATTAAAAAATGAAAAAAATAAAAAACATAAAAAGTATAAATTTTCTTTCTTCTTAGTAACATGGCTGTAAAAATTACATTTTTATATCCAATAGACGTTTATGACACATCAATACATACGGCACGCAAGTAAAATCATTACACTACATGTATAAAGCACATTAACGAATAACGCTCAATAGATGCGGTCGACTAAATCATTATAGAAATTACATTTTGTTTGACGTTTCACACGATCTTTGAATGTTTAGCAATATTCCAATTGCATTTATAAAATACATTAGACCGTTCGTCTCAGTAATTCATCAAAATGTTTATATTGAAATATATTAAAGTCGCATTATCGTTGCTGTTTTCAATTACACCCTATACAATAAATTTCGTAATAATATATTATTATAATATAATAAATATATGTATGTGATTGGTACATGAGGTTAATATTATTCATAACATTGTTTTTTTTTTTTTGAATAATTTCCGTGAAAATGAAATAAATCAAATTTTCAATAATAATAATAATAGTATTATAAAACGTATTCAATTTATTCTACCGTAAAATTCGTTCACGAACGGACGAAAAAACTTTTCTTCAGGGAAAAAAAAAGGAAACTGCTGAGAAATAAATTATTAACGTCAACCGTGGCCATTGTAAGGGATAATAATTAGTTCTGCTTTAAATGGCAGTATAGATTATTTATTATTCAATGAATTACAATACACCCGATTCACTTTTTAAAACGAACGTGCAACCGGTGGTGTGGGTACTTTTAGTTTTTTAAAAGTGACTCTCTAATAATAATGGACGAACAAATTATAAACACACCGGGAACGTATTTGTTGATCACGTACTACTTGCCTTTGGCTTCCAAAAAAATGTTTATAAAAATATTGAGTATATAAGCATCCATTTTTAATCGAGGCAAATGGAGAATATCACGTCTAATTTTAATAAATCTATATATTATTCAAATAAATATTTATGATTTTAAAAAAAGTAGAACCTTTTTTTGGAAAATTATGCTGAATTCCAGTTTCTTTTCAGTAGTTCTAGCAAACTTAATCTAAAATCTTTCTTGCAAATACGGGCCGATGCTCACAACTAAATTAAATATGACGCTTATACTCAATGTAGTTGATACTCTGACTTTAAACTAATCAGATTATAAATGTAGGTACAAACTTTATACCGTATAATTATTTCCATGGAATAATTGAACACACGCAGTAACGTGTACCATATAAAATAGGTCTTAATAAACAACTGAACAATTTTAAAGAAAATTAGATAAGATCTTAAAACTTATAAATACAAATAGTCAGCAATTCAGTTAAATTGAAATTCCTGTTTTTTTTTCTTAATGTTAAAAATAACGATTGCAACTTTTTTTAACTTGAATTTTAGCCACTAAACAACAACTAATAGCGCTTTTTATGTGATATATATATATATATATATTATGAAAATGTGTTAGTTAACGTTTTACTTGGGTATCTCAAAATCTTAATCTCTTAGAAAACATAGATAAATTATACGCTGAAAAAAAAAGTAGAACTGAATTTTTATTTAATCCTTATCTATTCAGTATATTTTGTTTGTTAACTCGAATGTTGTACTCAAAATGTAATAAAGGTTTCATTAAACTTATTCTGTTGTAAATATTAGTTTAACAATAGTCCATGAATCGTGTTACCTGTATTACTGAATAATAGTTTGAGTGAATAATAATAAAAAAAAAAATTAAAATGGAGATAGAAACAATGAACAATGGTATCTACTATTATTAGAATATTGTACAAAAGAACAGTAATAATAAACAAGAAATGTTCTATAAAAGCGCCTCAAATAGATACACAGAAGAAAAAAATATATAAGAACTTTATGTTGATTGCAAAGGCGATTAGCAAGGTAGCTTAGTGACGAGATAATATTTTCAATGGATAGATGTAGTGGACATTCTGTATGTTTTGAGGAAATTCATCTCGTGTGCTAAATATACATTTTTCAAATATTATTTTATTTGTTCTTTGTAGGAAATACATAGAGGTCAACATAATATTCTATGAGCTGAAACTTGAAGAAAAATAACATTTTTGTACAAGGAAGTTCATCTGTAAATGTACCGACTAAATCTGACTTGTATCCAGTATTAATATGTTCACTATTCGTTTAAATCTAACAGCTAAAAACATACATAAAATAAAAAAAAAAGTTCTTTTTTTTTTTNAACATACATAAAATAAAAAAAAAAGTTCTTTTTTTTTTTAATTGTATTGTTCATCATTTAATTATGTAAAATACAATACTTATTATTCTGACTAAAAACGAATTCTATTTAAACTGCATAACAATTAAAACAATAGTATAAAAAAAATTATAGTAGTAAAAACAAAAATTATAAACTTATTGTGTGGCATCCATTATTTTGGCATAATTTTTATTTGTTGAATTTTTATATACTTTAAGTTAATAATTGAGCTGCCATCCTTTATTGTATATATTTAATTGACATGAAAAAAATTTATCACTACAAAGCATTACTATACTATTGGCTTATATGTGTTTTTCACATATTCAAGCCCTTTTTTTAATTCGTATAATTAATTTTTATAAATATTTGCGTTAATATTATTAATTTTTGGATATACATCAAACAGCATAAGCATAGAGAATTTCATGTGATATACAGTTTAAAATTTAAACAGGATATTCTTTAATGTACTTTAATAAATTATCTGAAAATATAAACATTATAATTTTTTATTTTTTAAAATTAAAAAATTTATAATTGAATATTTTATTTCAAATTTACTTGTTGCTCTATTTGCGAACAACTAAAGCGACAGTTTAAATAATAATTTAGTTTTTAAATATTGTTTTTGTAATAACACAAACATAGAATTTAAAAAGATGTGGTAAAAATATTGACAGAGATATAGATCACTGTGAAAATACATAGTAGTAAACATGATGTAATTTTTTTTATGGAAAAATAAGGTGTGACAAAATTAGTTATATAGTAATCTACTCTAAAAGGTATATTTTTTTAAAAATAACTTTATAGGCCTATCATAATTTATGTGAACACAATTTTTATAATACATATCCCAACAGAAACGAACCAAATATAGAAATGTAAAATGATTTATTCTTCTTTGTTAACATTTAAAAAAAAAACTTTCACGTAAATTTTCTTGGGGTACTTTTTCTACTTTATTTCATTTAACTTAAGTGATATTGTCACAATACAAAATTTGTTTTTGTTTAACTTAACCAGTGAAACTTAAAAATTATACTTTATACTATTTTACTTACAGATACTGGGCTGTGACCAACGTAGATTACATTCATACAAGAAATGGCCGTCGAATTGTTGGCATGATTGTAGTGGTGTGGTCTGTGGCTTTAATTGTATCTTTAGCTCCACAATTTGGCTGGAAGGATCCAGACTACTTGGATCGTATTAATATTCAACAACAATGTATGGTTAGTCAAGATATTGGATATCAGATATTTGCCACGTGTTCTACGTTTTATGTTCCTCTTCTTGTCATATTGTTTCTGTATTGGAAAATTTTTAAAATAGCTAGAAGAAGAATAAGACGTCGTCGAGCGCAACGAAATGCAATGCTGGAACATTCTAAGTTAGTAAATATAAAAAAAAATTTAAATAGAGTTAAATGTTATTTATTTTTTAAGAACAATTAAGTTTAATAAAAAAATTATCAATCAACTGTTTGGAGAAAGATGCTTCTGTTAATAATGATTATTCAAATCTTCATTTTGAATGCTCATTTACAAATACCACTAATACTGAGAGGATTAAAATAGTGTTGCCATAAATTATTAGCCATAGCCCAGGTGTTCTTAGGTTCACTCGATGTGTCGATTTTGATTGCCTTTGTTAATTGAAATACTTTAACGCATGAACTAATATTTCCTTTAAAGTTCAATTAGTAAAGAACTTAAAAGCACAAAAGCCATAATGATAAAAATTAATTAGTCGAAAAATCGTTTCAAACACTATTTGCTTTTGATTAAACTATAGAACCAAAAGCACTTAAATGATATCTTTACCTTACATATAAGAAGTACTGAAATTTATTGATGAAAATGGTAGAATATAAAATTGACATTTTACCTAATACCATAAGATCCCCTTAAAGTATGTAAAATATGAGTATCCTTAAGTTTAAATTTAAAAATTCGAAGAAAATGTCAGGAAAAATTTAACAAAAAGTTTTTATGAAAAATAAAAACTTTGAATCTCATATCCTAAAGATATGATAAGTTATAATGGTCTAAATAGACCATTGTAACTATTCTTAAACTAGATATTATGTCTGTGGGGTATGTGTGATAATACTTTAGGTAGTTGAGCAGACAGTCCTAAGTTTCTAACGATGAAATCGATACGGTTTCAACCCTATAATGGATATCGTGGTCAGCGATTTGGTCGGTTTTCTGTTAGTTTTATTGCCGCTAACGACTTACTGGGCTTGACTTACACACATGGTGTCAGTTTTTGGGTTTATCCTGACACTGAGGATTTCTATAACTAAAGTATTTTTGGACACCGTTATAAATTCGTTATATTTTTTCCATTAAGATCCACAATAGGTACTTTACAAACAAGGCAAATATTTCCAATGCAACCCGAATATTTGAATTGCGGATATCAGCAAACTAACATTGCACCGGAAAATGTTAGTTTTTCGAAAAAAACATTACTTGGAATTCACTTTTTCCTCCGACATTCACAATAAAGAGTAACTACATTATTTTGAAAAAATGCTCACTCTGTTTTTTTTTTTTGCATTGTATTATGAAAATAATTAATATTGAAAAATTACTGATGAAATAAGTACTCGCTATTTATAATTTGTTTTAGATTAAAAAAACCGGCAGATGAAACATCGACAGAACCAAAAAAATACGGATTTTTTAGAAAGGCAGTGTTCTTAAGAATAAAAAAGAAAAAAGAAGTTGAAGAAACTGCTGTTTGTTCGAGTATCGGTCTAATAGATGGACACTCGAGCTGTTCCATGCCGGAATCGTCTCAGGATGGTCAGACAAAGTGCGGCGGTGAAGATAAAACAACGGCCTTCACGATATCGACGAATCACGATAACTGTGCTGCAGTAACGACCGTTGAAGACGATGGGCCAACAATAACGGATAGCGTTCCGATACGGCACACAGTCATTGAAATGAACGTGAATCGAATGAGCCTGGCTGCACCTCGCGTGAAGCCAAAACGGGAGAAAAAAGAGTCACTGGAAGCTAAACGGGAACGGAAGGCGGCCAAAACCCTGGCGATTATCACTGGAGCCTTTGTCGTTTGCTGGCTGCCGTTCTTCATCATGGCGCTAGTCATGCCCCTATGCCAACACTGCCACATTAACAAGTACGTGTCCAGTTTCTTTTTGTGGCTTGGTTACTTTAACTCAACGTTGAATCCAATCATCTACACAGTGTTCAGTCCCGAATTTCGATTGGCGTTCACCAAAATGATATGCGGCACGACGTACAGAAGATAATAACACATCAAATCGAGGCCAATGACTCCACTTTACCCAACTGTACATGTTTGTTGATTAACGAAACATTTTATGTATAAAGTGTGTACACTGGACGTGTTATATCATTATAGTATACACGTGTTGTGTGTGTGTTTGTGTGTTGTTGTGTGCATGTTTCTTCTAAGTATTAATTTAATGATTGTTATGTAATTAGGCGTGAGCAAACTTATGGTAAGGTCTGGCTTTCCATAGGTAAACATCGGATACTGCAAAGGTTTTTGGGTGTTGTCAAAAAGTTTCCGTTCGTGGTTGCCGTTTAATTTCGGTCAATGTTTTATTGTGCTCTTATCGAGCTATTTGACCTCAGCTTATAATTATCTACTTTTATAAAACGTCGTCTACACGCTGATAAAACATTTATTGAGATAATATATTTCTTTGATTTACGAACGAATTTGAACAGCAACGCTAGAGTTCTTTTAAGTATTAAAAAAAGAGCATTGCAAAAGTATTGAACAACTCAGCATAATACTATTAAGTTGGTATAGTGAGGACCCAGGAGGGTTCGTAGTGTTATGGGTACCTATTGAATGAAGCATTAACACTTGAAATGAGCACGTCGGAGCAACGTTTTGGCGACAAGCCAAATTGAATGGTATAAAATGCTTTAAACAATAATAATTTGCATTACTATACTGATAGTAAAATTGTACAGAGCTTTCTTTTTCTCGTAAAAGGGGGTGGAAGAATTGAGTTTTTTCGGCTCAGTTAATTCGTTAATAAGTTGTTAATAAAATTACTATTATAATTATTGGGATTTTTATTATACTGTTATAATCGTTTAAAATCTGTTGTATGTGAGATTTATTGTTGTTAAACATTATATCTCACACATTATAGTTATCAATACATTGTGAAAGACATATAAGACAATGTTTGTGTAATAATATGTGTATAATTTAAATATAATATTGTAATAAGGCAATTAACACTAACGCTATTGATAGCTTCAATTTTTTATTAAATATATATTAATTATTTATGTATATACAGGTGGAATAGATCTAACTGACAACTCATATAACTTATGATCTACATAACATTCTATATATTTTTTTTCAATCAATTTTTACAATATGGAACTATATTTAAAATATGTTTTATGTCATTTTCCATTTTTCTTTTTAAAAAGAAATCGCGTACTGTTACCAGTAAATAACATAATAATTGTTCACTTTTGTACTTTACATAATATGGACTAACATTTGATATCATAGGAAAATTGTAACAAAAATCAAAGTTTAACAAATTTTAAAATGCTGTATAAACGTAACTACTGAATTAAAATAAGAGTTTTTGGTATCAAAATTTTTCTTTAAACTCATCTATAAAATGGCCATTATCAAATCTTGAAAAAAATTTTAATAAAAAAAATAATTTCTAAAATATTTTTTGTAATTGTGAAAAATAACATAAATCATACTTTAAATATAGTTCTATATTGTAAAAATTGAAATATTAAAAAAGAGAAGTATAAAATATTATGTAGGTTATATGTTATATAAGTTGTCAGTTAGATCTATTCCACTCTGTATACTATTCTAATGACTAAATTTTAAGACTAAACATATAATTATTTATGAATCATAAACAGGATAAATTGAAATAATTTCGGTTTTTGGCAATTTTTCTTTTAGTAAGTTAGTTTTACTATATTGAATTTTTTTAGTACATATTGAAAATTGAGTACAGAACTAAAAATATTATAAATCAATATTAAAAAACTTAATATAATTTAAATTTTGACTTTAAAAAAGTTTGGAAAACGAAATTAAAATTAAAATTTCAAGGTTGGTAAAATGTTTTAAATGCGATTTCATAATATTTTAGTCTTTCATAATTATTAAACTTAAAATTTATCAAATAAATTCGATATAGATCAACTAACTTTTATTAGATATAATAAAAATGTTCAAAAAACCAAAATCATTTCGGTTCCTGGGCCTGATTGTAAATTGACATTTTGGATGGTGAAAATATTAACGATGTTACAATAATACTCAAATTGCTCAGATCTTACTTTTAATTACCAATATATTTGTTATTACAGTAGTTTATCACTTAATAAATTAATTATTTTGGAAGAATTAATTTGCGATTGTATTTATACTAAAGTGTTACTCATTGGTGATCCAAACTCTTTAATTTTTAAAGTAAGAATTAAAACACATCAAATAAGCTGATATTTCACCAGATAATAGACTTGGGAAAAGTTCAGAAATATATTTTTATGTTTCATAAAACTCACTAAAAATATAACACCCCTAAGAAGATTATCATCCCTTATAATTGTACAACTGCAATAATTAAAACATTATTGCGCCATCACTAGTCTTACTTTCTTTAAATAAAAAAAAAAAATTTTCCACTTATATTTAATTTATATTAATCATCAGATAAATTTAAGACTTTTTACATTTATAAAAATAATAATTTCGTGCCAAATGTTTTATTTTTTCAAATTAGTTTCAAAACTTTTTCAATAAGATATTTCGGTAGTTATTTAATTGATAACATACATGTTAAACTATAATACTTTGTTCAAAACTATTTATTAGTGGCTTTAACATATTTCATACAAAACAGCTTAATTATTATGTTTAATTGTTGTTACTTAACTCTAAGTTTATCATTAAAGTTTATTCATCTTTAATTGAACTATTTAATTTATTGTTTGTAAATTATATCAAATTATTACTTAAATATATTAAAATACTTCGACAAATTACCAACTATGTATGATTTGAATAAAAAATTAGTTATTAAAAATGATAGATAAAATTGTTTTCTTTTCTGCTTCATTAACTGTTCTCTAAGGTTTGGTAAGTTAATATTTTTTTTCAACTTGTATTATCCTTTAGTTAGTTAAAAAAAAAGTGATGTTACAATTTATAAGTTTTAATATTAAACTCATTTAAGTTATAAGCCTTTATTAAAAAAAAAAATCATTATTTTTAACTTAAATTAATCTAGTAGAAATTTTTGGTGTCCATATAAAAGGTATTTTTTTTTAAAAAATATGAATTCCAATTATATACAATAAAAACTACATGTAAATAAATATTTATAGTTTTACTAAAAAACATATATACCACATAAATCTAATATTACTTTTCAAGACATATGGTTATCTTAAGTTCAATTTAAAATTAAAGTTACTCTATGAGCCCGTGTAACATTAGTTTAACAAACTAACTAGTTACAAGAACTTAATTTTTTAATGCGTTAGTCTTCCACCACGCTCGATGGACGTCAAACAAAATTTACTTAAACGAATTATGTGGAACTTAATCACTAAATGGAAATCTGTGTTCATTATCATGTAGCCTTTTTATTTTTAGAGCGATAATTTTTAATCCAATATTACATTATTTTTAGATTTTTTAATCTGGTTAAAAATCATAATTTTTAAACTTTGACAATTTTTTTATTATTTCAAAAATCAATAAATAATTAAAATTGAATTTTTCAAAATGTTTTTTTATAAGCAATGTGTCATAGAACATTTTGAAGCTAATTTTTATGACTTGAACGATTCTTTATTTTTGCTGCTATAAATACTTTCTATGAAAATCAAAGATGAAATAATTAAAAAAGTATTAAAATTGAAGTCTTAAGTATGGTAATAATATTTAGTGATTTTCGTCATTATTATTAACAAACGTTATCTGAATTTTACCAATAAAATATATAAACGTTTGTAAAATAATTATAAAATAAATACCTCTTCAAACTCAAATTAGGAGTAAGTAAACCAAAACTTGTAATGTGCGGTCAAAAGATAAATGTACAAACTTTTACTATAAAATTGTTGTAATAAACAATGTAGAAAATCATACGGATCGTGTTTTTTTAATTTCTTACGTAATTCAAAGTATTATTTTTCGTTAATTCTAACGTCGCATCAGTTAAGTCGTACTTTTTATAAAATATTATAAGAATAGTTGCTTTTTCAAAACAAGTTTACAAGATACTACCAAATATTCCAATTATTATAATATCAAATTTAAATTAATTAAACACGAGGAGATAATTTGAAAATAATTTTTGATCAATCGGTTTAAACTTTGCAAAAGTATTTCACGCTGTGATTTTTTAATTTCGAAACAAGTGCTCGACAAAAATGTTCACAGAAAAGTAAAAATGACGTATGTCGGAAATGTCGCATAGACAAACGCAGTTATTGTAATTTTTTTGAGGTCAAAAAATATTTCGTTGATTAGATGACAGCAGCGTTGCCAAAAGACCAAACAACCGTAAGAAACCATAAATCACTCTCTGAGGGTTTAGTGTTTATAAGGGTATACTAAAATGTTATATTTATATAGGTATGGTATATTTTTACAAGTAGGTTGGTTTCTTTGTGAACTTTAATAACATTGTTTGTCGAAGTTTAAGGCAAAGAGAAAAAAACGTTTATAGACAAGCATTTGATTTATTCATACAGAAAAATTGATTTAGCTGTTTTTTAAATAAAAGAAAAGTTTTAAAATATAGCTAGAGGGATTTTTTTCAAGAAATGTAATTATTATTTTAAATAAACATTATTTTAATTTTCAAAAATATTCAAAATCGCACCATATTTTTTTAACAAAACAATATGGACACATGCGTTTTTATTTAACATATAAACCTTTTAAAAGTTGATAATATATTAAAGTAGTTTTCGAAATTTAATAGTAGTCCACAACATAATTGCATTATATTTGTTACGACCATAGTATATTAACTAGCCGTTAAATCATTCGGAGTTGATTCCTTTTTATACGGTTATTATTTGATTAAGTACACTTTAAAATTATTAAAAAAATTAATATGCTATTTAATATCAAGAAAAATGTATGGAGCATAACTCACCATTTAGTATATCAATAAATAAAAGCCCAATTATTTAACAGTGAATAATTTCTTTCACATTTTACAGCTTTTGAGGTGAACATTTAAAAATTTTAAGACTAAAAACTTTTTTAATGATAGGTGTTTTATAACAAAGTTCTATTATTCAGTATGTCTCATTATTAGTTGCATACAGTTGATTTACAACAGACAAAAGATTATTTTAAAATACAAAACTTAACACGGAGTATGATCAAAGTAGAACAAGTTATGACTATAATGACGATTATCATTTCAGTGGTTCGTTTAGATTTGAATAAATTGACTTATGGAAAATATAAGGTCTCTGGAGATCCACATATACTACAGCAGCTATTCTAATATTTCATTATTCGCATGCAAATATTTGACACAAGCCACAATGCTACTGTTATTTAAATAATTTTGTTTTTACTTTTAGCGCCACTGTTTGTCTAGAAACACAAAACAAAATCATCTATATTGCCTTGAAATAATATACATTTTGATGTTAAACAGCGGTACACTAAAAAATAACTGTAAGTTGTGTCAATGCTTTTATTCCCACATCATTTATACTAGTTCATTTTACAGATAACGAAGTTCTCGATGGCTACTATTATAGTACAGTAAAAATAATTGTTGTTATATTTTTCTGGCTGTCAAGTGCTTATAAAAACTGTAAATAAAAAAATAAAACGATTTTTAAATGTTATTATGTCAAAAGGAAAAACATAGTTTATACCGAGCCGATAGCTTGGATGTGAGGGGTTTTGTAGGTGGACCCTCAACCAAGTTGTCTGTTTACGGATGAATAACTATACCATTTGGTAATTTTATTATCATCTTATGAACACCTTCGTCTCCCCCTGGCATGTTTTTACTGCGTAACTGCGTTAGGAATATAAATCTCATAATAAAGACCCCTGCGGTACTTATATAATATTATTATCTAGCAGCCCGTTTAGCGTTGTAATATTTCTTTGGCCAGGACAAGTTAAATATCTTTACTACACTGCAACGTTATCAATTTGTTATAAATCACAAACGTGAATGGATTTTTGATACTCTCTACAAAATAAATCCAACTGCAATAATTATTTTTCTTAACACATAAGCCTACCGAATATTTTTCAGATATTTACAAAAAAAACTGAAATATAGTTCAATACAAAAAAATGTTATTAAATTTGTATTTTTTATAGATTAGTATCACCTCGATTTCGTTAATAAAAATAATTGTGTTTAATTTCAAGCAAATAAAATTGTTTTAATAAAAAATCAAGTCAATTTTGTTTCATATTTAAATGTACTTTTGTTTTTTCCTGTGTGTTAGTATTATCTTATATCTCTGTAGCGGCTTTTTCAATCTAACTGAAGAATCGACATTTGGGTTATCGAGGGAATCCAACTCAAGCAGATTCTTTTGCTGTTTGCTATTTTCTTTCACTTTGTTCATCTTATTTCGATTATACAACCATGTTTCTACGTAATCTTTGGTCAGGAAAGTTTGCATTTGCTCGGCGTCAAATTTCTTATCGCGATTTTTGCTAGACAGTTTACGGTACCGTTGATACAACCGGGTCGCTGCTTCGGTCATAACACGTGGCACCTGTCGACCGTATGCTGGCCGATTGAGGGGGTCCTTTGGTACAGGATCCTTGATGTTAACGACGTATACGGAAGAAAAAAAATTAAGAAACTCACAAGTCAGTTCGTCGGTGGTATTCAAACCACGCATTCGTACAATAGAAAAGTAATGAGGGTGCAAACGTTGTATCACCGACTTCTTGATATCCAAAACGGCAGGCGTCTCGATATCAAAAGTTCTCGGACTACGTGGCTCTCGACCCAATGGTTTTTGGCGTAAAAAGTTACCATCAACTCGAGAGTAAGTAGCATAAGTTGATGTGGATTGAGAATACCGCTGCAAATGATGATTTTTAGTGCATCTACATGGTGGTCGGATTGATAGCTGTTGATATTCAGTGTTGTTTGTATACACTGGAACCAGGCCTTCCATAGATTTTCTACCTAAATGAATTTTACTCTCTTTCGATGTCATGTTATCCACTTCAAACTAACAAACTTGGTCTGCAATGAATTTTATGTACAAGTTCATAATGAATATTTTATCGAAAAAGACTTAGCTCTAACAATAATATTAAATATTAACAAAATATCTTTACCAAATTCAAGTTGTAAAAATTATGAATTTACTTGTCGTTTAGACAAACAAGAAAATGAATTTTCATTTCATAAATTTATAAAAATCAAAAGTTTGTTAATCATTATTTATATTGGCTCTGTGACAGTTTTATAAACTATTATGAATTTCAGAAGAATAGATCACAAATAATATTTCAATGAATTCATAATTTTAAATCTATTATGTGTAAAAGTATTAAAATGTCAAGAGTATATCTATCGAAAATCAAGGAACATAATTTTTACACGTCATTCAGTTACGCCCCGAAAGCCAATAAAAAATTTATTTCATTCGCGACCATTATATATTATTAATTAAAAACGTTAAAATTCAATAGCCATTAAAACCTTATTATATAAAATTAGTGGACTATTCATCGATAAAAAAAACGAGGTCAATCAATTTAAACACACGTTCGTTTGATTTAACTAAACAAGTTCTGTGGTAATTCAATTTAGTAGTTCACCGGAACGACCACTTGTGCTGAAAACGTGCAAACTAACGTCTATAAACGTATTGACGTATAAATGTTTTGCTCGAGTTATAAGTTATTATGAAATTGCAGTATTGGTGCCAAAGATTTGCCAAACTTCCGTAACTTAAAATTAGATCATTCCAACTTTCCTGACATAAATGTAATTTACAATTTAATATCTTAGAATAATAAAGTGGTTTTGAAAATTATTATTTTTTCATTTTCTTTTAAATTTGTTTTTTATTGATAGTATCATAACTTACAGATTATATACAGTAATATACAAATTATACATAAAATACATATATTGTATGCATGCATATAATATATTAACATGCATAATCTGCTACAATAATCATAGTGAATAATTATATATTATAGAGAAAAGTTCTTTTGTCATTTACCACTTATAAAAAAAAAAAAAATAGTAAAGTACAAAATATTCAGAATTTTACATTTGATTTATTTAATTCTACATTTTTCTTAATTCATCAATTATGAAATCATTTTCATATTTATTCCTTAAAAATTACAAGGGTTTCAACTTTACTTTTTTCAAATGACAACATTCATATTTAATTAGTTTATTTAGTAAATAGTCTAGTTAATAAAATGACTGGTCTATAAAAACTATTAGAAGTTATAAAACATTTTATAATGACTGGAGGCAAGGCGCGGGTTTTGTTATTTTTATTACTAGACATTTTGAAACCACTCCTTCTACGATATAAAAAAGCTCATAACTTAATAAGAAAGGAAAAAATGTATGATTTATTTCAAAATAGCCATTAATTAGACATTTTTTACCAAAAATGTTGATGGACAAACAACAATTTTAAGGCAAATAATCATTGAGATGTATATTTTTGCATTTTCTTATTAGTGATGAATACTAAAATATATGCTTTAAACGTTAGACTACGTTTAAAGCATATTGTTTTATTAAAAGAATAATTTTTTTGAACGATTAAAAAAAAAATGATAATTTTATCAAAATTTATAAGCAATGTGAGTTAGACCTAGGACACTTGTATAGTATACTACTATTTGAAAAAATGAAGTTAGTGCCTTTATGTCTTTAAAATAAACATGAAAAATACTCCATGATTAAATTGATAAATTGAAAAAAACATGTAACTAAAAAAATCAAAATAAAATTTTCATCATTTTTTTATTTTTCAGTTTATTTTATCTTTTATAATTATTTATTACATACAAAACAACGAAAACAGATTAATTAATTTATAACGATCGAATGAATAACACAAGAAAAATTATAATAAATAAATAGATACCCGAGATGGACATGTTTTACGTTAGAAAAATGCGCTTCTTATCTTTCCGGAATATTTTGATGAAGAAATACAAGGTTTTATTGTATTCCCCTTTGTCATGTCAATTTTACAAATGGCAATTATTAAACTTGAACTGAATAATTGTTTTACACCTTTTAAAGAACGTCATTATTTCGTCTAAATTTTAAAACTAAAACGACAGTGGAAAAAACAAAACTTTCCCTTCGTCAACAGACAAAAAAACAAAGAGCTGTTCTGAAATATCTATCGCTTTTCTTTTTATTTTTTATTTTAAAAGGTAACTTTTCTTGTTATAAATCTCTATTGATGATTTTATTTTTTATCATATAAATCGCTAAAAAATTATGGCGTTGTTTAATTTTATTATTTTTGTATTAATTAATTTTAATTCAGAAACACTTTTCTCCGAAATAATTTTTCTCAGTAAGGCTGTTAAATATAAATTTTTAATAGTGTCGAGTATTTCGTGAACATTTGGGACAGTATTTATGTATTTGTGGAATTCCTAAAAGCAAATAATTTTAGTTTCTCATAGTGAAATAAGAGAACCTTAATTAAGGTAAAATTATTGTTGACCATTTAATTAATCTAGTATTAATAATATTTAAGTAGAAACATGTATCGTAAATAATGCAGTACAGTTTAAACAAAGTAAATCATAAATACTTAGGAAGTTAATCATTCCAAAATATTGTTTTGTTTCTTATTTAATTTTAAAAGGTTGCAAAAATCTAAAACAATAAAATTAGTTGTTTACATCTTTCCAATAAAAACTGTACTTAAAAGTACCACTTTTGCACAAACGAACTAGTAATAATGATTGAATTTTTAGTTAATTGTTTACCCATAAAAATGTCAAAACACTGTATCTCGTTATTTTATAATATCCCATTTCATGTCGTGACACTCTAAACAATTTGTACGAAACAAAAAGTTATTTCATTGAAATCGCATATAATAATATTGTGTTCACTCCAGGCACTCTGTGCATTTTGTTAAAATACGAAAACTTTCTCTATCGGTAGCCACAGAAACCCTCTTCATCTCTATATTTGTAATCAACCCCTCAACTAGCCCCGGATTGCATGTGCCTTTAACTTTCGAATTAAAAATATTTCATGAAAATTATTCCAAATTATGTCGTAACATTACAGAAAGAGCACATAATATTTATATTATGAACCATGGATTAAATCATTTTGCTTACATTTTCAATCGTCAAATTTAGTTTCCACTCGGATTAATTATTAAGAGAAAAATATAATTTTGATGAAATCAATTATAAGATACTCATAATCCTCTAAAGCCTCAGATTTTAATTAAACAAACTAAATAATGAACTTAGAAAGTAATTAAATTCGACTAAAACAGATACAGAAGTCATAATTATTCCAAAATTATTATGCAAATAATGTGCCACGCGTCGTGCCCGTACTTATTTATCTTAAATAAATAAACTCTGTGGATAGTGGAACTTTTTCTAAGTTAATGAGATTAAAAACGTGGTATAAACACCTCAAAACAAAGTTTTTATTGAAGCGGTTTTGCCATTGTGGAGCTTATTCTGTACTTAGTCCCTAAAAACTTGAAGCATACAAATGCACAATATGGTGCTAACAGTAGAAGTTATCAATAGTATACTTCCATTATTTATTTTCCTTTCCAAATACAAACTTTGTAGTCAACGGTGGGTTTTTGATCAG